CGGAGGTATTTTTCTAAACACAAAAATAATATATTATTACAAACGGATCAAATTAGTCATGACTTTTCCTATTAATAAAAAGAATAACGTAATACATCATGACACGTACAAAATTAACAAAAAGCTAAGTTGGTTCAACCAGATCGCTAAGTTTATTGTATACTCTTATAGGAAAAGTTTTATTAACCATGAAAAAAACACAATTTTAGCTACCATAAATCGAGATCATCGAGATGCTTTTGTCCATAAATAAAAATACTCTGCTTCGACACCATTTGTATATGCATATCCCACTAAACCATAACATCAAAGTAATGTTAGTCCTAGATTGAAAAATAATCAAAAAATAATACGCGTAAATATTTCATTCGAAATATTGTTTTATTTAGTCTTTTGGTATTCCAGCGACAGTCAATGTAAATAATTTCTTCTTCAACATAGAATTTTTTTTTTTTAACTGTCATTAGCTGGAAAAGCCGATTCCAATCTGTTAATGGAGCTCTCGTAGTCTCATGTTGTTCGTGGCATAGATAGGCTTGTATTCAGGATCTACAAAAGTTACTGAACTGTTCAGACTGTTCAGAATGTACACATATTTATATATTAATGTCCAAAAATACAACAAAAAATCTCACCTTTTAAATGCAACTTTCTACACAGGTTTTAATTCCTTAAAACATCACATAAATACATATCTTAGTCAAGACGAACCCCAAAAATTTAACTCTTAGACGACGCCTTACAATCTGAGTGCACTGACACATAGATGGCGCTTTGGCCACTTGATATATTTATACCCGTTACTCGTAGAGTAAAAGGGTATATTGTATTCGTGAAAAAGTATGTAACAGGTAGAAGGAAGCGTTTCCGACCCTATAAAGTATATATATTCTTGTTCAGGATCACTAGCCGAGTCGATCTAGCCATGTCCGTCTGTCCGTCTGTCTGTCTGTCCGTATGAACGCTGAGATCTCGGAAACTATAAAAGCTAGAAGATTGGCATTTTGCATGTAGATTTTAGGAGTTCCTACGCAGCGCAAGTTTGTTTCAAAATGGTGCCACGCCCCCTCTGACGCCCACAAGCCACAAGCTGTGGCCACAGTTTTGATGCTATTATGAAAATTTTAATTGATATGTATTTGTTTCGTCAATACCTATCGATTGGCCTAATAAAAGTTTGCCACGCCTACTCTAACGACAAAAAACCCATTAAACGCTTAAGCCTGGCTAGCGCCTACATTTCCGCCTTTCATGGCCCGTGGTACCAATGTCTTGAGGTAGATGGCGCAATACAATAGCGCCATCTAACGGATGACTTTGGAACAGCTGGCCAAGGTGCTCAACAGAGTCATCGTTAATTCTCGATAAGGATTTCTATTAAAGGAAATTGCGATGGTTTTCATTTGTCAATACCGAACTATATCCCAAGAACTATGCAAATCAAATCAAGTTAGCCAAATTGGAGGTCTGAGTTAAACAATGGCGTATGTGTGTATGGATGTAAGCATATACATATGTATGTATTTACATTGTACACAGTTGCAATTGCCCGGCAAAGATAACTCCTTTCAAATAGGGTTGTCGAAAAAAAAAGATAATATTTAAAATATCACATAAAAATGTCGATATATTGATATAATGAAAAAATTGACCGCACACAATAAAAAGACAAAAAGTTTCTTTTTAGAAACAATAGTATTTTATTATACATATTTTATGACCAGTATGCAGGGTTTAGGGATTTTAATAACACCCTTTGCGTTATGTGTGCGTCAGTCATCCTGCTCCTTGAGTCGCACACAACACATTTGATGGCGGATGCCGTTTTTTATATCCGTATAGTTTGATTTTACACACAATTTTTTATTTCGCGCCTGAATTCTTTCAGTCGATGTCGCTTTGGAATTCAGAGTGACCAAAGACAAAAATTTTAAAAAAAATATCGGAATTCACGATGTAAATATATCATTTTTAGGAAAAAAATATCGATATATTGATATTTTGATATATTATCAACAACCCTACTTTCAAAGAAAGCTATTCGCTATACCCGTTACTCGTGTTGTGCAAACATTTATACTTTAATATACATAATACTATTTATATTTATATTAAGTTGTTTAGCTGAGTAAAGGGTATCTAATAGTCGAACCACTCTCTTGTTGTATTATAAATTTAACAAGTTTTCTGCTGCCCATGTGGCAGCTTGACCAGGTTGTAAATATAATATTGCTAACATATACAATGAGTTAAGGGGGTATTGTAATTAAATTTTTTTTGCCCTTTTTTTAAAAATTTTTTTGAATGCACAACATTTGATGAATACTGCGTTAAAATTTTAGATTTATCCGACTAAAACTTTCGAAGTTATGGGCAGTTGAACGTAGGTAAGTTAGCTCGTTTTGAATGCGATTTTTCGATGTCCAAAACTTTAAAAACGCTCACCTGAAAAGCCTAAAAATTCGATATATTTGTTATTATAAAATGAAAAATAATAATTAAAAAAAAAACTCGACGTCAGAACTGCGTACTTAGATAAAATCTTATCAGAAATTGCAATTTCAAAATCGTTTTGAAATTTATCACACAATTTCTGTATCTAAGTACGCAGTTCTGACGTCGAGTTTTTTTTTTAATTATTATTTTTCATTTTATAATAACAAAGATATCGAATTTTTAGGCTAAAATCACGTTTTTGACTTTAAAGTGTTACCAAAAATCAAAAAATTTAATAAACAAAAGATCAACGTTGTTACCTCTAGAAATATATTAACTAATAAACAATTTTTTTTGTTTTTTTCTAATGATCCAGTAACGAGTTCTGCTGTTCACTGCAAAACCTTTTTTCTTGGAGGCGCCTACGGAGCTTTGCTGTGAACGGCTCATTTATTTTTTTTTTTAATAAAAATTTGTGAAAACGTAGTTGAAATATGGTTATAAAATAATTTACGGTTAATGTCCCGTATCACGTAAAAAAATTCATGAAATTCGCCGAATTAACCATATAATCATATTTTTTGGGAAGAGGAGGGCAAAAACTTAAAAATATTTTAACATGTTAATCATATGGGATATTTTTGAATATTACAAGCTGGTTACTTTTTCCTAAAAATTCTATTTTTGTCGCGTTCATATTTTGTTTGTTTGTATCTGATAAGATTTTACTCTCAAACTGAGCAAATGACTAATAAGATTAATGAAACTCGTGGGCGTGTTTACTCTATTTATTTGTAGATACAAATTCGATGTTTGCAGGATTATTTCTAAAGGGTGTTTTAAATGAAAACTTTTTTTGTTATTTTTTTGTCCTTGACTGTTAAATAAAAGTTAATTTTATTTCCATAGGGTGTTTTCCAATGCTCTTATACTATAAGCCAATATAAAGATTTTAATTTTTTATATAACCAATAAGAAGCTTCAATTCATTTATGGTGACTATGAAGACCTTACAAAATCAAGTTAATTATTATACGATGTTATATAAATATTTTAAATGTGGTAAACGTGAAGGACAGGATTAATTATTTCGACATCGGAAAATTTACTCGATAAAATAACACAACATTAGTTACCGAAAATCGAGATCTTGCTACTGTCAATGTCGTTTTATTTTGAAACCAAAACATTCTGGTTTTTACATAATTTTTATATGCAAATCCTACTGAATCATAACATCAAATCAGACAGAAAATACAGACTCGAAAATACTCAAAAAAACAAAAACCGTAAATATTTCAAAAGAAATTTTGTTTTATTTAGTCTTTATGAATAGTATTCTTTTATTTATTAATAGTATTTTGGTATTCCAGCGACAGTCAATGTAAATAATTTATTATTGAAATTTATGAAATTAAACCCGGAAGAAGTTGCTAACCTCATCGACCAAATCGACGTCATAGATAGACTTTTCTTTAGGCAAATTATGTCAGATTATATCGGAGATTTGTAATGTAAGATTTAATTTTGAAAATCAAGTGCACGGATGGTTTTAAGACGTTTAAATCATAATTAGTGTTGTTATTAATGAAAATACCCTTGAAATTTTGCATAATTTCTTCCCATATAAGCAATTGCAGAATTATTTTATAGTTTAAAGATAAATTCTTAATCACGGTTTTAATTTTTTACTTTCTTTGATAATATTTAAATCCTTTATCTGATGTTTATACTGTACTGATCGACAAAGACAAAAATAAGTTGATTTAATTACTTGAACAATATTCAGTAGTTTTTATAAATGCGACGTCTAAAAACACGATTACCGTATAAACTCAGCCTTACAGAAAAGAAAACAGTTCGGTCTACAATAAGTGAGTTAATAAAATTCAACATTATTAGGCCAGGCTGTTTTCTATACTCTAGCCCAATTTTGCTGTTAAAAAGAGAAAAAAAGAGCTTAACTCAAACACGGTTTCTGACAAATACCCCTTGCTGTGTACCTCTTATTATGTTACTTGTTTAGAAATGGCTATCGGATATCATCAAATTCCAAAGCACCCTGATTCTGTAGAATATACTCCACTTGTAACAACATAAGGTCAGTACGAGAAAATGCAATATCTATTTTTCCGCGAACCCTCATCAATGGTTGGCGACTTGGTTCAGTTATACGTTACTGTTTACATGGTTGATACTATGGTAGTTGAGTCTGGACGGTCTACGATTGAATTGAGTCGTTTGGTCAAATATTGTTTATGCACAAAATTTTGGGGACTTGGGCCCAGCTGTACAACACGTATTCCCTTGAATCCGGGCATGCTATCTTCGTGTGCGATCGTCCATTGAATAGATTCACTACATTAAGCATGCCAGTAGGCATGGTTTGTAAATTAAACGTTTCCTAAATTTACATGAACCAGCCTATTTATGCAATTCAACGACTTTAATTACTTTGAAGTGTTTGTGGTCAAAGTACTTACCATTTTTTTTGAATTGGGAATGGAGCAGTATGTATAAAAGACCGCTTAGGGATTTGTGATGCCTAGTTGCAAATTGTTTCGCAATTCGCTTATACGTTTTCTATTTATTTAATATTCAGAGGGGAAGTAAAAATTAAGGAACATTTAACGTGCTCATCTTCAAAAAATTATAATTCTTTTCATATAAACTACAAACAATTTAAAAAAAAATACCCGCCAAATTTATTTAAAAATGGAATTTAAAAAAAATAAGAAATATTCTAGAAAATTTCCTGAAACAGACGGCGATGATATAGTGATATCCGGAATGGCAGGAAAATTTCCTAACTGCCGTAACATAGTGGAATACCAGTATAAGCTTTACAACAAGGTAAATTGTAAACATGTGAAAAAGGAAAAATAAAAGATTAAAATTAAAATTATATTTAATAGTACATTCATTTTAGGTTTTGGGGCTAATCACTTTCGGTGTAGACTTAGTAAAAAAGCCACATTGTTTTATTTTTTATATTTTATTTATTTAAATTCACTTATAATTTCCTAAGAATATTTTTTTAATGTTGATAAAATTAAAACAAACGAATTTAATAAATTTTTTTATCAAAAAGTTTGTTATCACACGAATTTCTTACCTGGATAACACGTGCTGTTACTTGATATCAGAAATATTTTAATCATAGGTTTCACTCCCCAGTGAGTGCAAGTTAAAGTTAAGTGGAAATAAACGTTGTGTTATAGAGTAAAGTAAAGTATAGCGAGTTTACTCAATAACTCCATTCAATCATATATAAATAAAAATACAATAAAACAAGAAAGGAAAGCTGTAATTCTGTAAATTATATTCTCAAAAATTATTCATATGATGCATTCTTAATACTCATAAAAAGTCTCAACTTCCTAACTTTAAAAACACAAAAGTTATGGTATTTCCGATCAGTTATGTAGCGGCTATAGGATATAGTCGGCCGATCCTTATAAAATTTAGTATGTCGGATTGATTGGCCAAAAATAAAACCCATAGAAAATACCAACTTCCTAACTTTAAAAACACCAAAGTTATGGCTTTTCCAATCGTTCAGTTGTATGGCAGCTATATGATATAGTCGCCTGATCCGGCTCGTTCCGATTTATATACTGCCTGCAATAGAAAGACAACTTTTGGGAAAGCAGATAGCTTTAAAACTGAGGGACTAGTTTGCGTAGAAACGGACGGACGGACAGACGGACAGACGGACAGACGAACATGGCTTGATGAAAGACCAATATAAAGAGTTTATATTGGTCTTTGGCTTGATCGACTCTCCTGGTGATGCTGATCAAGAATATATATACTTTATAGGGTCGGAAATGTCTCCTTCACTGCGTTGCAAACTTTTGACTGAAATTATAATACCCTCTGCAAGGGTATAAAAATACTTCTTCTCATTAAAAAGTATTACAAATATTGGTTATTGCGAAAGAAGATCCTAGACCAGTACTTTCTGCACAGAATTTATTTTCTGTCTTCAGGAAATATATGCTAGCAGTTTTTTGTTATTTATGTATTTTTCCTATAATGGCAGTTAGAGCACCTTTAATTTTTAAATGCTTATGTATGAAAAATGGTTTAATTTTTTGCAAGCAATATTTTAAAGTCTCATCTACCCTGTTGTTCGATATAATTAAAAATTCTCGATCGTAAAGCAGAAATATATATACTCATTTTTTTCATATTTATTCATTTATTTTCTGTCTTCAGTTAGCAATTTTTTTTATTTATTTATTTTTCCTATACTGGCACCTTTAATTTAAAAATGGTGCCTTAAATTGTTGTTCTTTAATACATAAATTAATTCTGATTCTTTAACAAACCTAAGACTTATAAGGTCAGATAATTTACTTTATCATTTAATTATTTACTGGGTAACTGTAAAGTAAATATCAATTATGATGTTTTTAAATTGTTCCCAAAAAACCGCTAAAACGTTATTATCGATGGACCGCGATTTATAAGTTGCTAAGTTTGCTATAAAAATCAAATAGGTTTTTTATCTTTAGCTATAATAAAAATTTGTAAAAAAAAAATAAAGTTCATAATTTAAATTAAGAATTCAAGTGACGATAATAGACAAATTAATTTATAACTTTTTTACGGAAATCGTAAAAACACGTTTTCTAGAACACATCCAAAAAAAGTTTACAATCAATAAAAAAGTCGTCTCGTTTGAAATAAATTATTTTAAGGCAGGAAAATATCATTTTTAAAATCCTTTTCAATGACTTATTGGCAGTTCCAGGGTTACGGACCCGAAGTGGGAATTTTAATTTTTATTTATTGTTTTGGATAGCTTTGATTTATCTCTTCCTATGATAAAAATTTTAGCTGCAAAATGGAAATGAAATTTATAAAATTTCAGAAAAACACAAAAGTTTGAAGTCAGGTTGTCTACTTTGTTTTAGTAAGTATAGTGTTAGTATATATGTTAGCAAGTTTTGTTGCTAAACTTTTATTTGATTTTGCATCTAAATTAATATAGATTCTGGACGCGACAACTGCGGATGCTTTTTTTTGTAACTAAACAAAAAACTTTTTTGTTTTTATCATTATCTTCTAATAATAAATATATCAAATCTTATCACACTAACTTAACTAAGAGTCTTATTGACAACCTTTGGCAACCTTTCCACTACAGCAAGATTATCAGCGAGTTGGCTTTTTGCTCGTATTTGGCATCAGTAGCGACTCAGGATCACAGTATTGTCGGCAAACATGGACGTTCTTAGTATCTCATTCGTAGGGATATCCGCATTATATTGGACAAATAGGGTAGGCCCAAGTGCGCTTCCTTGTGGAACCCCAGCTGTTGCTGCTCTGCATTTCACTTAAAATACTCTATTATATAGAGTAGAAGCCAGACTCGGTAGAAGGCTTGTGACACATCGAGGATATAGCGTCACAATATTATTGATGCACGAAAACTCAGCGCATTTCTGATGTTATTCTGTTAACTTGCTCGATGGTTCCATTGTTTCCTCGGAAGCCAGAAAGGTTAATATGCTTTTTTCAAATAATTTACATAAACAAGACGGAATTGTGCGGCCTTCTCCGGGCCTCGGTATCATTACGATGAAAGATTTTTTCACTTCTTAATTAATGATCCTATTGAAAATTTTATGAACTATCTCAATAGCACAGATTGGAAGTTCGATTTACATTTTGGAGGTGAGTAAGTCACCACTTTTTGGGCTTAGTTGCTTAATTGCCTTTTAGATTTCGTTCGGCCGAAACGAAGTTGGGAAAGATGTAGTTTCGGGCTGAAAAATGGATTTGTTGCAGAGTTTGGCTGGAACACGCTTTGAAGATGTGAAAAAGAACTGTTTCAGCTCTGTCTCTGTCGCTTCGGACCCAGCATGCTGAAGAGTTTCTAATGGGGGTAATCGTTTCGATCGGAGCGCTTAAATTTGGGTAAGCCGTCTTTAGAAGATTCTTTTTACTGATTGGCTTCTCGATGTACCGCCTGGTCGAGAGAAGTTGCTTTGAAGATGGCGATCTGCTGGTCTGCCAAACACGTCGAATACGCAATCTGCTGTTTGATTTTTTACTTTCTTAAAGAGTTTATATTGGTCTTTGGCTTGATCGACTCTCCTGGTGATGCTGATCAAGAATATATATACTTTATAGGGTCGGAAATGTCTCCTTCACTGCGTTGCAAGGGTATAAAAATACTTCTTCTCATTAAAAAGTATTACAAATATTGGTTATTGCGAAAGAAGATCCTAGACCAGTACTTTCTGCACAGAATTTATTTTCTGTCTTCAGGAAATATATGCTAGCAGTTTTTTGTTATTTATGTATTTTTCCTATAATGGCAGTTAGAGCACCTTTAATTTTTAAATGCTTATGTATGAAAAATGGTTTAATTTTTTGCAAGCAATATTTTAAAGTCTCATCTACCCTGTTGTTCGATATAATTAAAAATTCTCGATCGTAAAGCAGAAATATATATACTCATTTTCTTCATATTTATTCATTTATTTTCTGTCTTCAGTTAGCAATTTTTTTTATTTATTTATTTTTCCTATACTGGCACCTTTAATTTAAAAATGGTGCCTTAAATTGTTGTTCTTTAATACATAAATTAATTCTGATTCTTTAACAAACCTAAGACTTATAAGGTCAGATAATTTACTTTATCATTTAATTATTTACTGGGTAACTGTAAAGTAAATATCAATTATGATGTTTTTAAATTGTTCCCCAAAAACCGCTAAAACGTTATTCTCGATGGACCGCGATTTCTAAGTTGCTAAGTTTGCTATAAAAATCAAATAGGTTTTTTATCTTTAGCTATAATAAAAATTTGTAAAAAAAAAAATAAAGTTCATAATTTAAATTAAGAATTCAAGTGACGATAATAGACAAATTAATTTATAACTTTTTTACGGAAATCGTAAAAACACGTTTTCTAGAACACATCCAAAAAAAGTTTACAATCAATAAAAAAGTCGTCTCGTTTGAAATAAATTATTTTAAGGCAGGAAAATATCATTTTTAAAATCCTTTTCAATGACTTATTGGCAGTTCCAGGGTTACGGACCCGAAGTGGGAATTTTAATTTTTATTTATTGTTTTGGATAGCTTTGATTTATCTCTTCCTATGATAAAAATTTTAGCTGCAAAATGGAAATGAAATTTATAAAATTTCAGAAAAACACAAAAGTTTGAAGTCAGGTTGTCTACTTTGTTTTAGTAAGTATAGTGTTAGTATATATGTTAGCAAGTTTTGTTGCTAAACTTTTATTTGATTTTGCATCTAAATTAATATAGATTCTGGACGCGACAACTGCGGATGCTTTTTTTTGTAACTAAACAAAAAACTTTTTTGTTTTTATCATTATCTTCTAATAATAAATATATCAAATCTTATCACACTAACTTAACTAAGAGTCTTATTGACAACCTTTGGCAACCTTTCCACTACAGCAAGATTATCAGCGAGTTGGCTTTTTGCTCGTATTTGGCATCAGTAGCGACTCAGGATCACAGTATTGTCGGCAAACATGGACGTTCTTAGTATCTCATTCGTAGGGATATCCGCATTATATTGGACAAATAGGGTAGGCCCAAGTGCGCTTCCTTGTGGAACCCCAGCTGTTGCTGCTCTGCATTTCACTTAAAATACTCTATTATATAGAGTAGAAGCCAGACTCGGTAGAAGGCTTGTGACACATCGAGGATATAGCGTCACAATATTATTGATGCACGAAAACTCAGCGCATTTCTGATGTTATTCTGTTAACTTGCTCGATGGTTCCATTGTTTCCTCGGAAGCCAGAAAGGTTAATATGCTTTTTTCAAATAATTTACATAAACAAGACGGAATTGTGCGG